CAAAAGAAGCTGAGAGTCGTGGCAAATCATCATTTGGACCTCAGAAATACATGGGGAAAAGACCAGTGAAAACCGAAATAAAAAGAGTAAGCAAGCCTTATCCCTCCTCGAAACAGCATGCAGTAACCAAAATAGTGGATCGAGAAGAACAATATCATCTCTCGGAGGAACAAGAGCCAGTGAGAGATACCACACCGGAAGCTCCATTGGTGCTGCAAGTGAAAAACAAAAATGAATGGAGACACAGCAAAGTAATCTTACTTACCGGAGCTGTTAAAATCATCGGCGACCAAGGACGATCCAAAGAGGTAGTCGTGCTCTTGGACACCGGCTCAGAGCTATCCTTCATAGAAGAAGGGCTCGCCGAAGAGCTCGACTTGCCGATTATTGGCACAACAACCTTGGAACTCAGCACATTTGGATCACCGTCTCATAAGATGAAATCATGTGCTGTGACCAGCCTGATATTAATGGATCGAAGTGGCAACGAGCATAAAGTACAGCTCTACAGAAATGACTACATAACCAGCGCTGTACACAGAGCAAACCTGAACAAAAATGATTTGAAGTTCATCAAAAAGGGAAATTTCGACTTATCTTTGCCATTAGAGGAAGGAGAACTTCGACCACAGATCCTACTTGGCTGCGACTATCTCTGGAACTTCATAGAACCAGGCAAAAAATTAAACTTGCCATCCGGATTGCAGCTGATACCCACAAAATTAGGGTACATCATCAGTGGGCGACAGGCATGTAGCAATCAAAAATCTCCTCCAATCGGTAAACCAACAATAACTTGCACGTTGTATGGTGGTGAAACCGAGAAAGAGACGTGGGATCGCTATTGGTCCTTAGAATCGACAGGCACAGAAGAATACACAGGCACGCAACAAATGGAGCTACAACAAGTGAACGATGAAGTATTAAGAAGATTCAAGGAATCCATCGAAAAGAGGGAGGACGGATACTACGTACGCTTACCTTGGAAAGACGCTCATCCAGATCTCCCCGATAATAAGGCACTAGCTCTGAAAAGATTGAAAAAAGTTCTGGAGATATATCAGAAAAATGATGAAATCCTTCAGGCATATGATAACACCTTCAAAGATCAACTAGAAAAGGGTGTTATCGAAGAAGTACCACCAGAAGAGCCTAATGAAGGACAAATAATACATTACTTACCGCACCAAGCGGTCATTACGCCATTGAAGGAAACAACGAAAATAAGGATAGTCTTCGATGCTTCAGCACACTACAGAAACTGTCCTTGCTTGAATGATGTTCTGCACCAAGGTCCCCTAATCCTACCCAATTTAACAGGGGTAATACTTCGATTCCGATTTCACAAGATCGCAGTGATGTCCGATATTGAAAAGGCATTCCTTCAAGTAAGATTACAAGAAAAGGACCGTGACGCTACGCGCTGCATATGGGTGCGAAACATTGCACAACCACCCACGGAGGAAAACCTGGTAATTTACAGATTCACCAGAGTTACCTTTGGCCTTAATGCGTCACCATTCCTGCTGAGCGCTACGATAGACTACCACCTTGAGAACACAGCCAGCAAGGATGACATGACAGAAGAAATACGGAATAATCTATATGTAGACAACCTCTTCTTCGGTGCACAGTCGTCAGACGAAGCGCTTACCAAATATGTCCACACGAAAAATCTCTTTCGCGAACTCAATATGAATCTTAGGGAGTACCGCTCTAACGATGAACACTTCAATGAAGCCATCGAAGAAGGCGATAGGATGCAATCCACCTGCCCTAAGGTCCTAGGCATTCCATGGAACTCGGAGATCGACAAATTTGTCATCAAAGGATCCATGGGGGTCTCAAAAGAAAGGGTTACCAAACGCACAGTCACGCAGCAACTAGCGTCGGTATATGACCCATTGGGATTACTAGTACCTTTATTACTTCCGGCAAAAATCTTCCTGCAGTCGCTGTGGAAGGAGGAGTTGGATTGGGATACTGTCCTCCACCCATCACTGCAGGATCAATGGCGACAGATATCCACCGAGATATCGACATTTTACAAAGAGGTACACCGACAAATTCTTACAACGGATAAGAAGACACGACTGGTCGTATTCACAGACGCTAGCCAATACGCGATAGCAGCATGTGCGTACCTCACTACAGAGAATGAATCCAATCTCGTTATGGGAAAATCAAAACTCCCATCAATAAAAACATCGATGACTATACCAAAGTTAGAAATGAATGCAGCAACGCTCGGCGTACGAATGTCCTATTTCATCTGCACAGAACTACAATCTGTCTGCAAGATAGGAGAGGTCATATACTACACAGACTCAGACGTCGTACTGGGATGGATAAAATCCCCTCCAACAAGGCACAGCGTAGGAGTCCTAGTCACGAATCGACTGATGGAAATAAGACGCATAATCAGAAATCTTGAGGACAGAAATATAAAATGTTTCTTCGGGCACGTCAAGACAGCGGAAAACCCTGCTGATTGTGGATCCAGGGGACTAACAGCAGAAGCACTGAGTGACCACGCATGGTGGAAAGGACCAAACTTCATAAAGGAAGTGGACTACACTACACTCAGTACAATAAAGGAAGATGAAGAAACAATACCAACAACAGTGGACTCAATCGCGCACATGTACACAGAACAATCTAATGACCAAATAATCGACTTGACAAGATATAGCTCTCTTGAGAAGGCACAGAGAGTTTTGGTCTATGCATTGCGCTTCATAAGGAAATCCTCGAACCACTTCACCGAAGAAAGGAAAATAAGAATTCAAAGGACTATACCAGCATTAAAAGCGATTTCAAGGTCGCAAAATATCACAGGAGAGGAAATGCACGAAAGTAGAATGTGCATAATTCGAGATCATCAGAAACACTACGTGAACGAACACATGATAAAGTCACAAAAGGAACTAAACATCCGTGAAGATGAGCAAGGAGTGCTGCGCTGCTACGGAAGACTCAAGAAAG